CAGGATCAAAGCGATACATGTATAAAAAATCTGTTCAACTATGAAACGGATGCCATATCTCACCAAGTGAGGCTCCACTTAGACTTCCTATGGACTATGGGGAGCTTCCCCCATAGTGTTCAAACCAATTTGGTTCTTTCCCATCAGAAAACACTTCTGGGATAGGAGGCTATATGCTCAGGTTATGAGAGCCTGGCTTGGAAGTACAGTAGTAGGTAGAGGAGAACAGGATGTCATTGATGACATCGGGGTCTCCTTGAATCCTTAGGGTCTGTGTCCCAATATTTTTTTACGTTTCTTTTCTTTGAGACGCTCTGCTGGCTCACTGTACACAAGTAGTATGTCCAGATCATACATAAGCTATACCCGATCAGTACAGTCAACCTCACCGCAAAGGAACTGGGTCATAGCCAACACAGACAAACAAAAGAACCCAGAACCCAGATATAGATGTATGTTTGCTTTGCGCTGGCACATTCTCATACATTTTCCCTTTCTCAGAACAAAAAGGGGGCCAGGGCTTTGCTTGGACTGGCCGTGATAGGCACGTAGAGAGAGACAGCCAATGAGAGACGATCGACACGTGTGGTTGGGGAGCAATAAGCTGAGCAAATATCAGCAGATACAATACAGCACATTATGAAGCCTTGTCTGCAGCCAGGCAGTGACAGCCAGGCCATCTCTCTCTCTCTTTCTGTCCCCCCCCCCCCCCTTATCGCTCTCCCTCCATCAATACCACTGGGAGGAGAACACTACACTGTAATATATTTGTTTAATCTGTGAGCAGAAGGCCAGACATCCTCTTTTCAGAGCCCATCCATTCCCAGCACCAGAGGAACGGTGGCATTCTTTTTTCCTATCTATCTCTACCTCTGCCAAATGATGATGGGGTCTGTAGTGTGGGAGTCTGGTCCCGTTCGTATGGCTTCAGTCTTTTCTCATAAAGCCTTTTTTGGAAGGGAAACAGCAGCTCTAATGGATGTGTCTAATAGGGCCCTTTGGGTTCCAAAGAGGAGCAGTAGAGTAGATAAGACCAGAGAAAGGCTATTATCATAACATGGAACTACTGAGCTCCACATGCACTGTGGTAGAAGCTTAGCTAACCTTTCTCTGTATATGATGAATTTGCTTGCCCATACGCTCTTTATCATATACGTAGTCTATATAAAGTCCCAGAGGGAATCTACAGAGGGGTTTGTTCCCATGTTGTTGTTAGTTTCAATATGTTGTTTTCTGGCAAACCCTAGTTCTCCATACGCTAGAATGAATTGGCTTGTGGTGCAGCAGGGTTAGGGGAACAAGCTCCAGCTGAGCGCTGTTCCCTTAACGAGAATGGCAGCCCTCTAATTGACTGCTGTGGAGCAGCAGGGCTAAGCCTAGCCAGCACGAGGAACGCTAGCTAGGGGAACAAGCTGCAGCTGAGCACGGTTCCCCTAATGAGGGTGTGGCAGCCCTCTAATTGACAGCCTAAAGACTTATATGTGTGCAGCGCTCGTTTTGGGGGAGAGCACATGTCACGTGAGGTATTGCTAGGACCGATATGATTTGCAGCGTTTAAGCTTTTGGTTAGTTCTGTTGACAATTTTTTTTTGTTTTCTATGTTTAAAATCTGACGCTGTAGAGCAGGGTTCTTCAATTCCGGTCCTGGAGGGCCGAAACACTTCTGTTTTTTATTTCTACCTGGTAGTTAATTGCACTCACCTGGTGTCCCAGGTCTGAATTAGCCCCTGATTAGAAGGAAAGGATGAAAAACAGAGGCGTTTCGGCCCTCCAGGACCGGAATTGAAGAACCCTGCTGTAGAGCTCTGAAGGAGCCAGGATTTAATTGGCCTTTTCTTAATAAAAGCCTCTTTGTTTGCACTGCGCTCCTGTGCCTTTACCTTTGAGTCATTGCCTATGCCGACCCCCTAGACCAGCGTTTCCCAAACTCGGTCCTGGGGACCCCATGGGGTGCACGTTTTGTTTTTTGTCCTAGTACTACAAATCTGATTCAGCTGATTGCACTGTCACATGGCTACAACAGACCAGCTAATGGGGCTAGATATGATCTCTTCCTTTGTCTCTTTCAGACAGTGAAAACAAACTCATTATGTCTAATCCATTCACTGATTTCAAACGACTGTTTCCACTCAGTACATGTTGGGGGTCTGATCGCAGTTAATTATGTAGTGTTAACTCTAAATTCACTTTAGCCCACCCTGATACTGCAATTATGTGGAAACAACATTGATTCAACCAGTTTTTGCCCAGTGGGATAGACTAAGTTATTGTATATACAGTAACGCACAAATAGAGGGCAGTGGTGGCTGGTGTTACTTTAAATCAGAGGACGGGCTCATTGTAATGGCTGGTATGGAATAAATGGAAATGTATCAAACATGGTTTCCATGTGTTTGATAACATTCCATTAATCCATTCCAGCCTCCCTTCACCAGTCTCCCGTGACAGAGACTGTTGTCTCAATGAAGCAGTTTCTCTAAAGGTACACGAGTCTCTGTATATCTTGCCCAGTCGTCTCAATGAAGCACGTCTGTTCTTTATGGTAGCGTTTAGTCAACACCAATAATTACAGTTCTGAAAGCCTGACTCTGTTTGTTTGCTCCTGCTGCCGTTATCATTACCCATTTAGCCCCTTCACTCCTGTGACGCATGGCTCTTCTCTCTGCTCAGGAAAAACTAACTCTCTCTCTCTCTGTTAATCCACAATCCCTCCCAACATATAATTAAAATTGATAGAACGGACTAGAATTGATCATCGTTCCCTGGTGGTTGTAACATCCGTCTATTTAAAATGTTCAATGAATCGATGCTTAATTGCCTCGGTAATTGCAATTGTTCTCTTATGGGGACAGCCGAAGAACCCTTTTAGGTTCTAGATAGTGTATTTTGGAATTCTACGGCTCTATGATTGAATTATTCGCCTTCAAAAGGGTTACAACCCACCCGCCCTCGCCCCCATCCGCCTCACCTCGCCCTCCATGAGTTACTGCCAGTGGACCCTCCTGACACCTCCACTGGCCTGTACTTTAGCGTGTGTAGGTCTAGTAGTGATGATGGATGTCCTGGCTGCTACACAGTGGCTAATGTTACAAGTTGCCAGCCACTCAATAGGGGGGAGGTCTCCGGTGACCTCGGGGGACACTGCATCCTGCCAACCTGGGCTGCTCGCTGCAGAGTGATGGCCCTCTGGAGAGATCCTGGCCTTGATTATACAAGGTGGGGGAGTAGGAGGAGGAGGAGGAGGAGGAGGAGGAAGTCAACGGCCTGCCAGAGCTAGGCTAGCTGTCAGGTTGGGAGAGATTGTCGTGTGGGAGTTTATACAGTATACAATACAGTCCTCAGGTCCCCTAGGTGTCTATCATAGAAGGATAAACTCTGAGTTTTTACTTTGAGTTGGCCAGACAGAATGCCTGTATTGGGGTGTCATAGGAATGACATGAAGTATCTGTCAGAGAATGTCATGGAGGTATATTACAGTCTGACATCCCACTTATGGGAACTGACAATAACGCTCCTGAGAGGTGGAGATGTGATGTTCCGAACCTTTCATTAGAGAGAGTGTCCTGGCCGATCCACATGATTCCCCACTGTTCTCATCACATTCTCAAACAAGCCTGCAATACTTCCCAAGGTTGTAAGATTGGGAAGCAGAGCCAAAGTCGTATTCACCTTTCTTCATCAACTGACCTGATTTTAAACATCAAACAGATTAAAACACAGCACAGATAACAGTCTAGCATAATTGAATCAAACATCACAAACCAAGAGGGATTCGTTCTTTCACAACTAAGATGAAAGGAAAACACAAATGTTCTCCTCTCATTGCTTAAGGCCCACCGGGGGATTCATTTGATGGGGTATTAGTTCTGTACATTGATAAAAAGGAACACACTTTAACATCTTCTCTGCAGGAAAAATGTTGACTAACAGAAAATGTACGAGATTTACAGGCCCAATGACGGCAGGGGAGCAGAACCCAATCCGTTTAAAACCCCATTTAGAGCTGTGCCTCGTGGCTAGGGCCTGGGAAACGGGGGCAGTTTTTCATGGGCCTGTAAAAGGCTGGACTGACGGATGGACCTACACTTTTGGAAAAAAAGGTTCTATATAACCTAAAACTGTTCTTTGGCTGTCCCGATAGGAGAACCCTTTGAACCATTTTTGGTTCCAGGTGGAACCCTTTTGGTTCCTGGTAGAAGCCTTTTGAGTTCCATGTAAATCCCTTTCCACAGAGGGTTCTACTTGGAACCAAAAAGGGTTCTACCTGGAACCAAAAAGGGTTCTCCTATGGGGACAGCTGAAAAACCCTTTTGGAAACCTTTTTTCTAAGAGTGTATAAACAGTGGGCTTTTATCTCCCAGAGAAGAGAGACAGGAACAAAGGAGCCAGCTGCCCGGACACATTCCCATTCCTCCCTTTCACCCCTTTAATCTTTCCTGTCATCGCCCCACCCCGGTGCGAGAAAGAGAGGGAGGGAGGGAGAGAGGGAGGGATGCGGAGGTGTGCAAATCATGTCTTGTTCTCCTTTTCTTTTTCACAGCTTTCCCTCGCTCATTCTTAGATGGCTCTGATGGCTTTGTCTGGCTCACTGGCTGACTGTTCTAACAGGAGACAGTTCAAACAACCATCAATATAACTAATCATTGGATTGATTTCTAGTTAAAACACATTGATGTGTTTTCCCAATAAGCCTTCATTAGGAAGCTTTCATCAAGAGCAATATGATGAAGGTCTTTTGGGCAATCGATAAATCAACAACAGTATCTGTATTAAAGCGAGCGAGTGTTGAGCCTATCTTATGAAATGCCTCTGTGGTTACTAAATACCACTGATATGTGTATTGTGTAAGTGTGGGAGACTATTCTTATTGATTCATGAATAAGAATTGATTCATGAATAAGAATTGATTAATGAATGGCTTATGACTGATGTTTCCTATGGCCTCTCTACTTGTTGGTTTTACTTATGAATGTAAACGATGTCATTAATCAAACACATACCACCATCTTGTTGAGGGAGACCCAGCAGTCTGAGGGGAAGTCCTGCAGCATGGGAACCAAGAACTGTAGACAGCCATCCCAGTGACACAGCAGCAGCATCATACCAATCAGGTTGAAGATACGCATCACCGCACTGGCCAGGTCATAGGTCATATGGAAGATCTGAAACAGAGATAGAGACAGAGAATGAGTTCAAGTGGAGAGAAAGGACGAGAGAGAGAGAGTGTGTGTGTGTGTGTGTGTGTGTGTGTGTGTCTGTGTGTGCATGCGTGTGTGTATGTGTGCCTGTGCAAGAGAGAGAGATAGAGAAGCAGAGAGAGAAAGAGAGAGAGTGAGAGAGAAAGAGAGAGCGAGAAAGAGAAAGAGACAGAATCACAGTCACAGAATTCTTAAAGATTTCCTGTTTAATTTGAGATTTCCTGTTTAATGCAAATTTCTCTAGTGATCAAGATGACAAGTCCTAGAAGCAGGATTAAAGAAGAAGACTCCAGTCAGCAGCACCATGTTGCCTGCTGTTCCCTTGGACCGTACCAAGCATGATTAATGAAAGAGGAAAGACAGCTTCCCATCAGTCGGCCATCAGACACAGCAGGAACAAAGCAGACATTTGTTACAGCCAGATACAAAACATCAATCATCGTTCCTTCCCATTTCCAGGAATCTTATAACCGGGATTTCTGGAAAACCTGGGAATATTGGGAAAGTTATCAGGATTTTGCAACCCTACCTGCATGTCACATTATACTGGCATGCAAAGTGATGTGTAATTCCTATTGGAATCCAGACAGAGTTAGGCTATCCAACAGTTTGACTTTTTATTCACCTGCAACCTGCATTCAGAATGACTGCCAGGGTTAGGAACATTGTGAGGAGACTACCTAAGGCATTTAAACTGGAACAACAATTTCAGTAAAGGGTGCAAAAAATCTAACTAATTGATTGGATTAGTTTAGTTTAGAAAAATGTCTGTTATTTATCTTTGTGTAGCATAAGATTAATCAATCAATCAATGTAAATGCATAAACACAGATATTTAAAACAATTCTAAAAAATCTACCTGCAGGGGAGCATGCTGGAAAATATCAGAATGATAATGATTATGGTACCAATTGGCCTTTTAGGGTGCCACCACAGTGACAAAGCCGTTAGTTCCTTTTAAGTGGCAAAAACATAATTGTACTTTTTGGTGGGTACAAATATGTACCTTCTTCAATACATTGCTTTTTTGCTAAGTAAAGGTACAGATTAGTACCATCGAGAGTTGAGGGTACACAAAATATGTCTGTACCCTGGGAAACAGAAATGTACCTTCACCGTACATTGAGAGCGGGAATGTGATGATTGTACCTTTATTTTCAAAATATTGGGTATAAAAATGTACCATTACACTAGATTATCCGCACATTTACCCTAAAAGGTACCGTATAGTACCATGTGAGATCATATGTGTATCTCTGAAGGTAAATTATGTGTATTTTGATCTTTGTACCCCAGGGAACAATAATGTACCCTTATTTCTTAGAATGCAGTACCAGAGCCACAGTATACAGAGTTCTGCTAACTCGGTTTAAGATATAGAATCCGAATGAGCAGCATGTTAGCACCAAAGGTTCCAAGACAATTACATTCTACAGAGAATGCAGATTAGAATGTTACTTTCATGGAACGTTTGGTGCCAACATGTAACTGACTGGCAAACTGTATGGCTCTAATCAGCACCATGGACAGTGTCAAGGTTCTTACTGACTTATGAGAAATCTGAAAACAGATAACCAAAGGGAAGCAGTAATAGAAAACAATGAGGCATATTCTCTGTATTTTTGTGTGAAAATGTAATCACTAGAAGGACTTATTCACTGAAGCCCTCTAGTCTTCCAAACGACATTTTGTTTTGGTGTGTAAAACAATGAACACTCACATAATCAATTGGAAGAGTGAATAACAACAACAAAAGCAAACTGCTATTACCACAGCACAAAGAGCTATGTCGCCATGGCAATTCCCATTAGTAGAGAGTACAGTGTAAGTTAAGAGCACACCATTCAACCCTAAATAGTGGAGAGGCACTGTCAACACTTCCTCTCCAAACTCCACTCTATGGCCTTGTTCAAACACTCAAAGCATGCATCCTTCCTTCTTTTATTCCTTCATTCCTGTACAAACACTAAAAACAAGCATTTTTCCTTCATTCCTTCTATGCTTCCTTGTTAGAAGTTATGAATAAGAGCAAAAGGGTGGAGAGATCTTAAACTCAGTTATCCAACTACATACAGATCAGTGATTAATTAGCAAAAGGAAGGATGCATTTCGGAAGTATTCAAATATGGCATCTGATGGATATATCTGCCTGTCATTCAGGATCTGCCAACTGCTCCATCCGTCCATCTGACTGCTGTATATTTGTCTGTCTGTCATCTTCCATGCATGCCAAGTTTCCTCCTCTAACCATTGTGCACCGCTCTGTGTATTTGTCGCATCATGTCTTCAGAAATCCAATTATCCAACGGTAAGGGGCACACACAGGGCCCAGTGCATCCACCATCCGCACCACTGCAAAATGCCAGCTAGCGCCAGACGCCTGGCCTGCCAATACTTCCATAAGAGAAAAGTTGAGTGATCCCATTATCACCATCGGACCTCTTGTGGCATCGATGTGAGATGAGGGATAGACAGACGGACCAGGGAGTCAACCAAACACAAAGGCCCCTCCAAGAGAACACAAACACGAATAGAGCAGAGGTATATTGTAGATTAACGAAAAACTAGATATAATGGCCGAAGGACAAACCAACCAATCAAGTCCCTTCCGAAGCTAACAAAGAGACAGAAAATGAATGGAGACACAATTAAAGGCTACCCTACGAGGAACACAAGCCTAACTGAATTATTATAATAATAATAACAATTAGCCAGACATATAATCACAGTGAGCACCCCCTCCGGTGTGTCATATTACCACCCATCCGGGTCAAACGGGGAGACGGCGATGACACTGATGCTGATTAGGATGCAAAGGGTGTTTCAAAGTTTAAACCCTCCTGCCAACAACATCACATATTTTTCGCAGGGAGACAGGTCGAGAACAGCAAAGTAAACCTCCTGGCCCTCGACAAACGACTGGGAACAAACACAGGCAGGGCTGGGTCCAGACTGATCGTCTGACTCACAGCTTATTGGTTGTCAGCCAACAACTAAAGGTCTTAGAAGGAACTCAGTGATCTGACAGCAGACCAAAGTCTGCTTTGATATTAATCTATGCAGAAGTCCAAATGGATGGGGGACCAAGAGTTCCTGGGTACAGAACAGTGCGGTGGGCCGGTCAAATATTTAATACTTAGCTATGATTTTCCACCTAGACAAATTGTCTGGACAACCTGTCACACAATTCACTACCCCTCACTACCCAATTCACTACCCCTCACTACCCACAATTCACTAACCCTCACTACCCAAAATCACTACCTAAAATCCACTACCCACTTTCATTACTATCATCAGCATTAGCGCGATCCTGGCTCTTAGACTACTTCCTCCATGACAATAGCCACTTGTCCTCTCTAGCCTGGCCATCTAGTGACTACCCTGAACCATGGGTCATGTAGGGATGTTAGCCTACTTTCTCCCAAGGGTAACTACACATTAGTAGTGTGATGAGGTGAGTTGACCACTGTATAATGTAAAAACACTTTACATCTAGAGTAAAGTACTTTAGACCTACAGTGGAAAGTGTGGTAAAAAAGAATCCAATCCATTATCATTATTGACATGGGAAATGTAGTGATGCTGCTGTGAGCCTATGTCATCTTCTGTAAATTGCTTCTATACACTGCTGTCCTACCTCCCTAATGTACCTTCTCTCTGACAATACTTGTACTTGTCTAGCATAGCCATGTAGCTTTCTAGCATAGCTTTCTATAGTGACTATCCTAAACCATGTAGTATGTAGCCATGATGCTGTGAGTGGGTACTACACGTTAGCAGTGGATAAGATGAGTTTCCATCTTACAAGCTCCAGGAGACCGAGGGAATGGAGCTATGTGTATACTATAGTTATCATCCTTTATCCTATCGTCATGACAATAAATAGTTGATGAGGCGAGTTTGAGTTTCCCCCTTACAAGTTCTTTGAGACCTATTATGAAAAGTGATGAATAGATGCAATGTAGCGTTTCGGGGGGGGGGGGGGGGGTTTGGGCTGTGTGGAGTGTGGTCCTACCTCTTCCCACTGGTGGATGTAACGGATGAGCCGGGACAACCTCAGCAGCCTCAGTAGGCTAAGGATCTTAGTGAAGCGTACGATCCTCAAGGCCCTGGCCGTCTTATACATCTCAGAGTCGATCCCCTTCTCCACGATCAGGAAGATATAATCCACAGGGATGGAGGAGACAAAGTCCACAATGAACCAGGTCTTCAGGTACGTCTTCTTGATGGTTTTGGGGTCCAGGATGATGTCGGAATTCTCCTCGATGATGATGCCCGTGCGGAAGTTGAGGACCAGGTCCATGAGGAAGAAGGTGTCGGAGATGACGTTAAAGATGATCCAGGGGGTGGTTGTCCCGTCGTTGAAGAAGGTGATGCCCACCGGGATGATGATCAGGTTACCCACCATGAAGAGAAGCATTGTGAAATCCCAGTAGAACCTGGAGAGAGAGAAAGGGAGCGAGAGAGAGAGAGGGGAGAGTTTGTGTGTGTGTGTGTGTGTGTGTGTGTGTGTGTGTGTGTGTGTGTGTGTGTGTGTGGAGGAGGGAAAGGTAAAAGTGAGAGGGAGAGGAAAGGGATGGAATCGGGGACAAAAGCAGAGTGATAGAGGCAAGAGAGGGTCACCAAGGGAAACTGATAGGCACTGGAGACTTTCTGACAAAAACTGGTGGGAGTGTAACTAAAGACCTACAATATGTTAGGATGAAGGATTATGTTAAGCTAATTAATATTGATTTGCATTTGACATTTTAGTCATTTAGCTGACACTTTTATCCAAAGCGACTTACAGTAAGTGCAGTCATCTTAAGATAGCTAGGTGAGACAGCAACATATCACAGTCGTAGTAAGTACATTTTTCCTCAATACAGAACTTATCAGCAAAGTCAGTACTAGTAAGAAAAGATAAGTGCAATTGTATTTTAATTATGTTTTTATAGGGTGGCGGATAAGACTGAGATGTCTTATTTAAGATACTCTTTGAAGAGGTAGGGTTTCAGTTGTTTTCGGAAGATGGGCAGGGAATCTGCTGTCCTAGCTTCAGTGAGAAGCTCGTTCCACCATTGGGGTGCCAGGACAGAGAAGAGCTTGGACTGGGCTGAGCGGGAGCTGACCCCCTATGGGGGTGGGACAGCGGAGAGACCAGAGGTGGCAGAACGGAGTGCTCGGGTTGGGGCATAGGGTTTGAGCATAACCTGAAGGTAGATGAAAATGAATGATTGATGAATGAGAATGAGCATTATTGTTGTAAATCATTGTTTTAGTACACCTCCGGTGTAGAAAATACACCATATAAACAAAAGTATGTGGACACCCCTTCAAATTAGTGGATTTGACTATTTCAGCCACACCCGTTGCTGACAGGTGTATAAAATCGAGCACACCGCCATGCAATCTCCATAGACAAACATTTGCAGTAGATTGGCCTCACTGAAGAGCTCATTGACTTTCATCTTGGCACCATTATAGGATGCCACCTTTCCAACAATTCAGTTCTTCAAATTTCTGCCCTGCTAGAGCTGCCCCAGTCAACTGTAAGTGATGTTATTGTGAAGTGGAGACGTCTAGGAGCAACAACGGCTCATCCACGAAGTGGTAGGCCACACAAGCTTACAGAACGGGACCGCCGAGTGCTGAAGCGTGTAGCGGGTAAATATTGTCTGTCCTCGGTTGCAACACTCACTACCGAGTTCTAAACTGCCTCTGGAAGCAACGTCAGCACAATAACTGTTGGTCGGGAGCTTCATGAAATGGGTTTCCATGGCCGAGCAGCCGCCCACAAGCCTAAGATCATGCCCAATGCCAAGCATCGGCTGGAGTGGTGAAAAGTTCACCGCCATTGGACTCTGGAGCAGTGGAAACACGTTCTCTGGAGTGATGAATCACGCTTCACCATCTGGCAGTCCGACAGACAAATCTGGGTTTGGCGGATGCCAGGAGAACGCTACCTGCCCAAATACATAGTGCCAACTGTAAAGTTTGGTGGAGGAGGAATAATGATCTGGGGCTGTTTTTCATGGTTCGGGATGAGCCCCTTAGTTCCAGTGAAGGGAAATCTTAACACTATACCATACAATGACTTTCTAGACGATTCTGTGCTTCCAACCTTGTGACAACAGTTTGGGGAAGGCCCTTTCCTGTTTCAGCATGACAATGCCCTCGTGCACAATGCGAGGTCCATACAGAAATGGTTTGTTGAGATCAGTATGGAAGAACTTGATTGGCCTGCACAGATTATATTAGCCTATTGTTATCGTAGTAAACACAGGCCTATGTTGTTTTTCTTACCATCAACAACAGTAGCAGCATATGCCTTAATGGCATGTTTATGCATATTTGTATAAACTGCATGGCTAAAGAAAATAGCTTAAGTGAATTGGTACCATTATTGTAGCCAAGCTAGTTCAGTAAAATGCAATGAGCCAAGGCTTAAAGCGCAGGTTACACGGTTGGGTGCTGCTGATGATGACAGTCAGAGGTACAGGGATAGTAGGCTAGTGTTAATTGATAAGAGTGTTCATGGCCACGCAGTCAGAGAGGGCTCACTGCAGGTGCAACGCTGAGTCATTACACTGCGAATGACGCACTAGGTCTTAACCGTGTACCAAGAGATAATGAGCACAGCTCCACAGTTTACACCACAACAATAACATATTTGATAACCCTGTAAGTGCCTATATTTGTGAGAACTATGGCATGCCTACTCCTATGAGAGACTTGTAATTATTGTGTTGTATAACTCTCTTCGAAACTATACGGTCAAATTATACATATTGGATACGTATCACTAAATTATTGTACTGAATCAGCATAATTTGATCAGAGTCGTAAACATGAGATGAACAAAAACAACACGATGTGTGATTTGTGAATCGAAAGTAGCTGCCGGCTCCACTCTGGGTTAGGCGGGAGCTGTCCACTCGCGAGTGGTGCTGAAACGAGGGACGAACGCTCCCAGTTGTCTATTTTTTTTAAACCTTTATTTAAACTAGGCAAGTCAGTTAAGTACAAATTCTTATTTACAATGACGGCCTACCCCGGCCAAACCCGTACGACGCGATGCTAACGCCCTATGGGACTCCCAATCACCGCCGGATTGTAATACAGCCTGGAATCGAACCAGGGCCTGTAGTGACGCCTCTAGCACTGAGATGCAGTGCCTTAGACCGCTGCGCCACTCGGGAGTCTATCACGAACTTCAGTGGCACAAAGACGTAATTCCCATGATCATGTATAAAATGGGCCCATTTCGCATAATTAACATGACCCTCTCAAAGGCGAGAGGACCCACATATGTATGTCAAAAGACATGAGATGTCGATTCTCCTTATCGCTGATAAAACGGTGATAAAAGGCAAAGCGAACCCGTCATTATTAAAATGCATGATCCGGGGAGTCATAGAGGCGGATATGTCTCGAGTGAGCATGCTTGAGGTTTTAGCACACTTGGCTCAAGGTGACATTCCATTACTGAGTGCATCACACACCCCGGCAGTCCTATCAGTCAAGGATCTAGCGCACAGCCGGCTACTACGCTACGATCGACTCGAAACAAACCATATTTTAATCTAGCCCCACGGTAAATAGCCTAGTAATTGGCATGAATTAATAATTTTGTGTTAAGATTTGCCTATTATTCTGAATGAGATCGATACGAGTGAGTTCACGAATTGATACAAAAGCAAGGCTTGGTTGGTTATCCCAGACATTCAACAGACGACTGTTGTTTACAACCTTGAAAGGACACGATATAATCGCTTTTCATAAAGCCTATACCTTCCCACAAGCTTTGCGCACAGGTTGTCTTTGAAATATTCTAAAAAGCACTACTAAAAAACCTGTCTTTGTCAATGGCCCATTGTTTAATGAAAATCACTATATAGATGGTTTTCATTCAATAAAATGTAATCGAAATGTATAGTCTAAAATACCAGCCAGAACAGGTGGGTCAAAATGGGTTATTATGTCTGGCTTATAACAACTAATGACAATAGACTGTGTTGCACAATGCACATTGACAATAGGCATTCTACTTCTGGGCCCCTGGATTCTCATTGTAACTTGTTGATGGTGCTATGGGGCCAAACAAAGGCCATCCATGGCATCGCCAACATGCACACTCATAGAAACCAATGGCAGCACTTAACCCTTACCTGAAATCACTGTAGGGGTGGATAATCCAGTTGCCCGCTGATTTAACCCGCTCTTGCTCCCTCTCCACCGCCTTTTGACTCCCAAACATACGTAAGGAGAATTTGTTAACTCCAGGTTGCAGCATGGCACTGAATTGTCGCTGCATGAAGGTGCTTCCGCAGGGCTCGGCATCATCGGTCTGGATCTGGGGTCCCTCCTCGGGCTTCTGGAAGGTGACAGAGTTCCTAGGCTGCTGGTTCGTCTGGGTCTGGGTCGAGCCGTGCAGCGATGAGGAGGCTTTCCTGCTCGGCGCGTTGGAGAAGGACACCCTGGAGTCCTTTTTCTCGGGGACGCCGGTGGAAACCGGGGTGATGCCGGGGTTTGCGCTCCCTTCCCCGTGGCCCTGCGTGATGGAGCCTGTCGTGGAGCCATCCATGCTGGCCCTGGCTGAGTTACAGGCACCGCGCCTAAGGGTTCCCCCGTCCTCGGCCCTCCCCGCCCCGGCAGTCTTGTTGGAGATGATCGAGCGCAGGCTCCCGGTGCCGGAGTCCCTCCTGCATTCTCCGTTTTTGTTGCATTTCATTCTTGAAATTGGAGCGGTGCTGTTGCAACCATCACCTGCTGCCGCTTTTAAAACCTCTACCGTGACCGCTGCTCCAGACGCCTCCTCCCCTGCCGCTCTGTTGGTCTCGCCGCGCACGGCAGCATCTCCCGGACAGGTTGTGGTATCAGTCACTTTGGATGCTACAGTGGGCTCAGTGGCAGCAGGCGCGTCCTCTACTTGCAGTAGGCTGGGCTCGTTGTTGGTAGAGTTATTTCTGGTAGCCGTGGCCGCGGCTCCCCCTCCTGGCGTGAAGTTCTTCATCCTGATACTACCGCCACCGCCTCCACCACCGCCGCCACTGCTGCTCCCACCAGCTCGGCGCAGCCGCGGATGCTGAAACTTGGACTCCTCCTCAACGTCCTCCACCTCGTCCATGACGGCGTTGCTGGCCACGTCGAGCTGCTTCACACTTGGGGCGCTCTGGCTGGCAGCAGCAGCAGCAGCGGGGACCGAGTCAACACAATTGCCGCTGTTGCTGCTCCTACAATTGGACGCGGCAACTTTAGGCGCGCTGATGTGGCTACAGCCGCTTCCGCCCGCAGCCTTCTTTTTCATGGTCGCATTCTTGTCCATGGGCATATCAAATTGTGCCTCCAATTATCTTTAGAGAAAACCAATCAGGGACAGAGGAGAGGGGCAGAGAGAGAGTGCAGAGAGAAAGGAGAGAGAGGAAGGGTGGACATGACTTCTTTGCAAACTATACAAGAGCAGGTATCTGTGACTGTGCTCACTTTCAGAGATCATGTTAGCATCGCTTCAAGATCGTTTCTCTTTTATCACGTCTAATAACAATTTGATGGCAGTTGCTCTGTGATTAAGTCACATCCGGCTAAACGTACTGTAAACCTTTAGCCTTATTCAATTAACCTACAATGAAATTCTAATCAATCAAACTCCCAAAATATTCAACAAGCTATCAGCTAAAATCATAATTTGGATTCCTTTAGGGTCAATGACTCACAGCATTCAAAAGCTCAATTAAAACGTCGTAATGAACCAATTATATACTTTTTTTGAGGGTCTTTTCAATGAGAAGATGTAAAATAGGTGTGTAGCGCCCTCTAGTGTCCATACGGGTGGAATACATTGAAAGAGATCTCAAAGTGATACTAGTCTTTTTCCTTTACCTCAACTAATCTGCGCTGATGAGCCGGTGAACTCCCACAGCAACAGCAACTTCCCAATAGGCATCCATCCCTTTCCCCTATCGCATGTTTCCATACCAGGGCATGGGAATCAAGAGATAAGGGGAGGAGGCCGCAACTATCGAAATGTACCTTTTATAAGCATGTCCTTGAATCTAACTATTTGGGTTTTCATTAAAGATTCTCTTCAAAGATACAGCTTTGAAGCAATAGAACGGGCATCCCCATTCAAGTCAATGATGATATAATGGGTGGACTGGCGGCCATTACGAGTGTATGTGCTGTGATTTTTGATTAAACTCAACCGACCAGAGGAGGCCGGTGGGAGGGGCTATAGGAGGACGGGCTCATTGTAATGGCTAGAATGGAATAAATGGAATGGTATCAAACACATTTACATTCCATAAATTCCATTCCAGCCATTACAATGAGCTCATCCTCCTATAGCTCCTCCCACAAGCCTGCAACTGCAATTACAAAAAATACATTCCTTTGCATGAGCTGATTGAGAGGGGGTCAAATACTTATTTCCCTCATTAAAATGCAAATCAATTTATAACGTTTTTGACATGCGTTAATCTTGATTTTTTTGTTGTTATTCTGTCTCTCACTGTTCAAATAAACCTACCATTAAAATTATAGACTGATCATTTCTTTGTCAGTGGGCAAACGTACAAAATCAGCAGGGGATCAAATACTTTTTTCCCTCACTGTAAATATATGGCTTTGGCTATATCCACCGTTCAGATGGATGGGACGTTCCATATGGTTTTTGCGCTGCCGCAAAAATGGGTCATTTATGTTAATTATATTTGTCTGTTCATTCGTAAATTAGGTTTGTCTAAATATTTTTCCACACTTAGGAACGTAATCAGAACCTTATCTTATTCATTTTGGCTAACCCCTGGCGTAGTCAGCCAGATACTGTGAAAGACAGCTGTCACTCAGCTGTTCGCACGCTGGCTACCTAGCGTTACGTTAGCTTTTAACTCGTGTCGTGGAACTTTCGGTTATGGATCCCTTCGACAGTTTGGAGCCTGTGATATCTGTTCCTGTTGGCCTAAAGAGGAAACCTTCTAAAAAAGCGAATGTACAGGAGAGAGCCAAGATCCAGCGACGGGAAACAATAACGGGCTATTCTGGCTGCAAACATATGGAGGCTGCAAACAGCGGGCTGTGTCACTCAAGAATCAATCCATCCTTTACCAGCAAATGAATTGTGACAGACTTTCAATATCCTTATTATTCCTTAAATCCTTCCCTAAAGTGTAGGTTATATAATCAAACTCAAAAAGCTTCCCTTGATTTATACTACAAAAAACTGTAAAACCCCCATAAAATCGTTCAAAAAGCTGCTTAAATGTCCATAAAGAAAACACACATTGTATAAACGGTTCCCTCTGGATACAATACATAGGCTATGTGATATTTGCACAATATAGGATTATTTCAATATTTATTTAAGTATCGATACTTTATTACATGTAACGGTTTAAAACCCAATCAGGATACTTTTTTTTATTGGAGTTCTGTTGTTTGGGGTGGATATATGGCGTTTTGTCCAAAAGAAACATGATTATTTGTCTCTTTAAAATAAAATAGCCTTGCAATATATTTCAAACAAAATCATGTCTGTCTTTTCACTAAGATGCAAAAATAATAGCTCTATCTCTTTCACAAGATGTGTTATAAATTAATGTCAATTGACCAACATTTAAAACAAAATTGATATATCACGTTTTGGAACAAAACTCTTCATATATAACCTGATATTTTACCTTGTACATTGAGACCTTGCTCTTCTGTTACAGTATCAATGGGACCTGCATGAGAGGATGCACACACACACACACACACACACACACACACACACACACACACACACACACACAGCCAGCCTTCATAATCACTGTCGCTGATCGCACACAGTCTGTCAATGACATTCAGAGGTTGTCTGCAATCACTGAACTTGTCTCAATCATCCATGCAGCGATGCTGAACTAAGTTTCCCTGGGGGTCAATTAGGTTATCATGAGTTATCGTGTTCCAAGTCTCCCTGCCGCAGGTCTCTTACCTTTTCACAGTGACGCTGTCTGTGAGATGCTTGGTCCAGTCTGAGCTGCAAGACAGTGTCTCTCGCTCTGCAGAGGCTGCCTGCCTCAATTCCACTTCCTGGTATAGTATGACGCTCTGGATTCATTTACATAAAAGGCAGAGTTCCAAAAAAGAAAAAGAAAAATTGATCTTGGAAGAGATCCAACGAGATCTGAGGAATCCCAGAGAGTGACAGAATGGAAGGCTGGTTGAGCAGATTCTGCTGTGGGGTGTTCTGGTGGGACTGACCTGGAAGCAGTGTAAAACAGGCAGTGTCAACATTCATCATTGTTGTGTGAGAATTTGAAGTTGCAGCTATAACCAGGTATTCTTTCAACCATCTATGGTTTAGGTTCAAATTGGGGTTAGGGTCATCTGGTCCCAGGTCTGTGGTTAAGGTCAACCTCAAGCTAAAACCTCAGCTACCTTTTATTTCACACTGACATCACACTGACATCAGTTTTCTCCTTCCCCCCTTCTGACACCCAGGTGGCGACACACATCTCTGCGTGCCTGGCAGACATCTCAGCTTGGATGTCGGCCCACCACCACAAGCTCAAACTCAAACAAAACGGAGTTGCTCTTCCTCCCGGTAAAGGCTTTCCCACTCCAAGACCTCTCCACCATGGTTGACAACTACACAGTGGCTCCCTCCCAGAGTGCAAAGAACCTTGGTGTGACCCTGGACAAGACCCTGTCATTCTCTGCAAACATCAAAGCAGTGACTCGCTCCTGCAGGTTCATGCTCTACAACATCCATAGAGTATGACCTTTCCTCACACAGGAAGCGGCGCAGGTTCTAATCCAGGCAGTTGTCAGCTCCCGTATAGACTACTGCAACTCTCTGTTGGCTGGGCTCCCCGCTTGTGCCATCAAACCTCTGTAAGTTATCCAGAATACTGCAGTCCGCCTGGTGTTCAACCTTCCTAAGCTCTCCCATGTCACCCCACTCCTCCGCACACTTCACTAGCTTCCAGTCGAAGCTTGCATCATCTTCAAGACCCCGGTGCTTACCTACAGAGCAGAAAGGGGAACTGCACCTCTTTATATTCAGGCTATGCTCAAACCCTACATCCCAACCCGAGCACTTTGTTCCACCACCTCTACGGGAGTGCAGCTCCCGCTTAGCCCAGTCCAAGCTCTTCTCTGTCCTGGCACCCCAATGGTGGAACGAGCTTCCCACTGAAGCTAGGACAGCGTAGTCCCTACCCATCTTTCGAGAACATCTGAAACCCTCAGGGACGCTGTGAGATAAACCCCCCCCCCCAAAAAAAGGCATTTCTCTTTTCCCGCTAACATTGACTTTGCTGATAAATAGTTTGTGGAGGGAAAGTGTACATGATACAATTGTGATGTGTTGTTGTCTCACCTAGCTATCTTAAGATGAATGCACTAATTGTAAGTCTGCTAAATGTAAGTCTGCTAATTGTAAGTCTGCTAATTGTAAGTCTGCTAAATGACTCAAACATAAAATGTAAATGGGGACTGGTTATAACATATTCATAGAGTAGCAATAAACATTTGTCATTCACAGGAAAAGGTTTAGTGAGAGGTACACAGTAAAAATCCATTATACTTCTCTATCCTCCTCCACTTCCTATTCTTCTCAGCAAGCCAATCAGATGACGGTGTGGATCACACCAGGCCAGGGTGGTCTCCTTCTCTCTATTTTTGTTCTTTTCCCCACCCCTTTCTTCTTTCTCTCATCTCATTTCCCTCCTCCAAACACACACACAGAAAGATAAGGCAGCTCTAAATGGGTCATAATGAGTTTAGTCTGATAGGGCTGCAGCAGTAGAGAGGAGAGGGGAGGTACAGATGAGTCTCACCAGCAGGACTGATAAGGACATTACTTGGGTGGGGTGGGGTGCCTACACACACTAGAACATACTTTAACCTTTATCGACACATTGCTTGGTCTGAAATAACATTTCAATGTTCCCATGATCCCTTCAGTGACCTTAGGTGTAAGTCTAGGGCTAGCAGTTAGGGGAATATTTAGGCTGGGCTACAAAGAACACATCAAATACACCCTCCATCTTCCTACTATGCACATAAAGAATCAACAGTACAACATCAGGTACCATCTTTGAAAAGGCGATAAAATATGCATAGTGAAAACGAGGGTGCATTCAGCAAGGTGAGAAGTGTTACATGGCCACGTTTCCAGAGGCTGCTGCCTACGACCAAATTCTTCCTCCATTTCCTCCTTTAGGACAAGGCTCCTAGGGGAGCAGAGCTATGATTGGCTCCATGGTTAAGCTCATAATTAAGCCCTGTTGATTGGTTTACTAATCAGCATGCTGTAACAGTGTTCTGCAGCATGGCTACACTTAGCAAATATTGTATAATGGCTTCACATAATGGTCACGTTCCACTGCTTAGACGTTGCCAGATCTTACAACGCCTGGATAGGTATTTTACCTATCAGTTTACCACACGCAACCATTGGTTGATGCATGCAACGTCTAAGCAGTGGAACGTGACCATTGCCTGGCTTAGGGCCATTGATATGCAATATAGTTCAGGGCCCTGTTGGCTTACTTCAAAAAATGCATCCTTCCTACAGTAGTTCCTTCCTAGTACCTACCTTCCTTGAAGTGACTAACTACTGAGCTGACATGACGGTATTGGTGCTACTGTAGTACTTTCATCTATCAGGAATAATCCGTGAGAATTTACTACAAGGAAGGGAAGAAGGAAGGGTGCATTTCTAAAGTATTGGAACAAGGCACTCGATTCCAGACACCTCATATTTCACCAATCAAAAAACATTCTAGAATCTTCCAAAAGAAAACCCACTTTCTACTAATACTGTAATACTGTAGTAGTGCTATCATCAAAACTGCAGTATAGTCCGGTTTTGGTGTTTTATTATGCTTTTACTCCAACAAATCATTAACTTAGAATAGGTTAAAATGCATTGAATTGAAATTAATTGTATGGGATATTCAAGGAGGAAACATACAGTAGTGAGAATCTGTTTGCCATTTTAGAAAGATGTAGTAAGATAATCTTGTCAATTGATAGTAGCCTACAAGAAATTAGAGAATACCCAAACTTTTGAAAGATGCAGATCAATTGAGACTCTAATGTGAGAATCACAATATGAGCCTTAAAATGACTGTTCAGAGATGCAATACAATTTTCTCAGTAGTAGTTTCCCAAAATCCACATTCTTGAAACGAAACAAAATGTTGTGCAAAACAAAACACAAAAGTGCACATAAATAATCCTAAAATCAGATGCATACACTCAGTTCTCTCTGTAAGATATTCTTCAGTTGGCTGAACAGTGGTTGACCTGCTTGTTTATGTTCTTAATATGAATACCTCTATCTACACATAAATCTCTCTCCTTCTGCATGGAAGTCCGTACCACCACGGTTGAGTAAAAAAAAAAAAATCCCTTTTAAATATAAAATGTGTGTCCCCATCTTGTGGCAAGAAGACATGAATGTCTGGGTCAAATCGTAGTCCACTCTCAGTTCTTCTGTGGGTACTATTATACCCCAGCCTGTGCTCATCATCCTCTTACTCCAGTTTCATTTTAGTCTTCACTCCGTCCCTTAACAGAAGCATCGCAACAGGAACGGTGCAAGCGTCCACTCCAGTTCACACTCATGGGAAGGAATGATTGTGTTCAAAGTTCACAATAAAGGGGTGGGGGGGGGGGGTAAAATAAACGTATTGTGTTTATTGCAGGGGTTGTAACCGAAATTATTTTCCAAACGTTTCGTTCTGAACAGAACCATAATTTTTTTGTTCTGTTCCACTGTTCTGACCAGCAAAAACAGTTCTGAACCGGTTCGAACCCCAAAAAAAGTTCTGAACCGGTTCGAACCCAAAAAAGAACTGGTTTATATCGTTCCTTTCTGTTCCTTTTTAAACCTCTTTTTAAACCTCAACATTAAACTCCTAATCAGTGCGGATAGAGCAGCTTGCTGTGGAGCAGGTAAGCGATTTAATCTGTATAGGAAGGTCGTTAAGAGCAAATTGTATTTTGTCATAACAGCATGGTTTAATCATAATGAACGACAAACACACACTGCGCTGCCAGTCACGGTGTAGGGCGCGAGATGCAACTGACATTTTGAGGGTGAGGAGAGAGCAAGGGAGGATGGAGGAAGCTTGCCTTGAAGCACTGGGCAACTTGTTATGACATGGATTATATGAATTAGGCCCACAGAATTATACCTACGGAGGAGCGGCTTCTATGGAGGAACTTTGGCTGTCTTTGAACTTCCGAGTTGGTTTAACATTGGACCAGAGCAAATGTTAGCTAGCTAGCTAACAAGCTTCTGTGTACAGAGCAGCACTATAATTAAAAACACGTCTTTCCTTTTTGTAGTTAATAAATCCAATGTGAAACCTGATAACTATAGTATCCTTCACTAGCAGTGAAAAAGACCCTTGTAACGTCATCAGTAGGCTACAGTAACCTATACTTCAGAGGGGAGGGGCAGATAGCATACACACACACGCACACCCACTGGCAAAGATTTCCATCTGGCAGGCAGACGTGAGGGCTTTGCATAGGCGCTTTGTTGCAATTTTTGTGGGACTGGGAAAAAATGCCAGGAACGTGAAAGGACGTTATTAACCGGTTCCCATGCTTTTAAAATAACGGTTTTGTTCCGGAACTGTATAGATCACTTTTGTTTTCGGTTTGGGTTCTGTTCCTCAAATAATTTCTTTATTTTCCAGTTTTTGGTTCTGTTCCCTGAACCGGTTTATTGTTTCACCTCCAGAGTAGAGTCATCTACCCAGCAGCTTCTCCCAGAGGGCCTAGCAGAGCACTAAGAGAGGCAGCCCTCCTGACTCTCCTGAGCCAGTGGTAGAGTGGGGGTGTAAGTCTGCCTGGGGTAGGGATGAGGTGTTGGTTGTTGCAGGAGGTGTTATCGAGGTTTGATGGTGATGGAGGTCTATGAGTTGTTGGCAGCGTTCTCGTTACTGGGGGAGTTGGAGGAGGATGAGGAGGAGGAGGAAGGGGAGAAGTTCATTCCTGATAGTCCCGGGGGGTCCGTAGCTGTGTTCTGTCCACTAAGGCTCTTTCTGCACACTGGACATGTGTCGTGCTGAAGGAGGTAGAGTAGGACACAGACACAAGAGGTTCAGTTTACAGCTCCTTCAATGAGAACACATGCATGCACACCACTACATTTAAATGAATGAAAACGTGGTGTAAACGCAGCACACAAACCTGTTCCAGCCATGGGACTATACAGTCATTGTGAAACAGGTGATTGCACGGAAGTTGCCTGACAGTCTCCCCTACACTGTAGTCTTCTTTGCACACGGGACATTCTAAACTGGAACCTGGAATTAAAGAGAACATATTTTGTGTTGAAGTCTTCCTTTAATATGATCTTTGACCTCTGGGGTTGCTTGATGAGTTGTTGTTGTTGACCCACCCACATGTTCCTCTGTGATCTGGATGGTGGGCAGGTTCTTTATCCTCTCTCTGTCAGCAGGAGGAGGGCCCGTGTTCTCAAACTGATTCAATAACTACAGGGGAGAGAGGGAAAGTTGTATTATTAGGTTGTGGAAATGTCACCAGAATTTGATGTCATTGCATGTAATTGAATCCCTTGTGAAATGTAGAGGATTTGGGTATACCTGGGTAATGATAGCATCAAGTCCATTGGCACCCCAAGCGTAGTCCATTGGATTTGAGTGTAGCATGCCCCTATCAAGAAAATTCCAAGAAATTACTAGAAACTCACAGCAACTAGTATGTTCACAGACACAACATAGAGTATGAGGGTATTTATATAATAACACAAACCATGGTCCCATCCCAATGTTCGGCATGGCTGTGGGTGCTATGATTCCATTCACTAACTGCTGGATGATTCTGCAGAGGGACAATGAAAAACATCTTAGTCATTTCCTGAATTCCTTCCTCAAGGAAACGGAACAATTTCGCTACACAAGCAAGCATCATCCCTAAAGGGCAAGCAAACAATGATTCATTGGGCAAGAAAGCTGTAAAGTGTTCCATACCCCTCTAAAGTGGGTACTCCCTCGTGTCTCTGTCCCTGTCGCCGTGGGATGTGTCGTCCCCGCGGTTGCCGGGCACTGTACCGTTGCCGTGACGCCATCTCCCGTTCCCGCCGGTTCTCCGTCTCGCGGTTGTCTTCCGTCGGCATCCCCGCTCGGAGGTCGAAATTCTCGTCAAAGATCCCCAGAGCAAATTGTCCGTATCCGGGCGGAAATGTAAACATGTGCTGGTGGTCCATAATCTGAGGGAGGAGGACAAAGGGAGAAATATACTGTCACTTGCAGTCCAACCAAGGTGCATAAATTCATGAGGACCAAATGTTGAGTTGAGGAACATACCAGTTCTGTGTCACTAACCTCAAAAGTCGGACGGTTCTGATCGCTGGTGGAGGCAGTGGATGTGGACTCATTTTCAGTGCTGGAAAGGAACAAAATATCAGAAATGAGAGGTTCTCATCTTATCTTCAATTATGAACCAATGTGGACACAGACAGCACTGTCAATGGAAAATCGCTGCTGAAAGTGTTTCGAACTCTCATAGACAAGCAGATAATACTGTACCTTCTTTCCTCTGATAGCTCTTCAATGAAGCCAGATTCACACTGTGGACAGGTGAAGTCCTGCAGGAAGGCAGAGATCTAATTTATAAATAATCATAAATTCTCAACAGTCAGTCTCATACACTTTCCTTTTTTTATTTGATCTAAAGCAAAACAAAACAAAAACCATGCCTATGGAGGCTATGTATGTACCGGGGAATTAGGATTGTTTGCTAACTTCAACCAGATGTGGCTTGAATTCAAAATAAAAATTAAGTAAAATATAAGTTAGCTATTGACCTCACACTTTGACACGCTGTAGCGCCATTCACAGAGTTGATCATTTTAACAATCGCTGATGATCTATTCAATGATCCATTGCTAATGGAAGATATTTGATCTTTCTCGGATTCTAAAAGAGGCTACCTTTGGAGGGAGGGGCTAGGCGGGACCGATGTCAAGCTGTCAGAATCATGAACAGATCTCATATCACAACAGACAGACAGACAGACAGACAGACAGACAGACAGACAGACAGACAGACAGACAGACAGACAGACACGCTGTAACTGGAAGATAATTTACGGGTTAGCTTTTTCATTTAGCTAATTTAGCTAGCGCCTTAACTAATCCAACAAGTCACAGAGGCATGCTCTCGAAACATCCTATCAGACAAACAACACGTTATTTTGGTATCTGGCTAGATTGTAAATTAAGCCAGCTGTCAAATGACAAAAACACACCTGTCAACGTGAACGTTCTAGCTACAACCTAAAGCGTTAGCTAGCTGTCATGCTGAAGCATGGGGCAATCGTGAATGAAATAACGTAAACCCCACTTAGCTGGCCATGGTTTTCTTTTCTAAACGATAAAACCTCTCTGGAATGCTTACCGGGAGACGAGGGTTGATCTCTGCTGAACATTGGTGACAGAAAAACCGACAGGGCCGTAAGGGAGCTTCAGCCATCTTCTGATTCTTTACCAGACAACCGAGACGGAACGTCTCTCGCTGTTCTCGGGTTCGATTTACAAGACGGACCGGAAGCGGAAACTAGCTTAGCAACAGCTAGCTCATAACAGCGAATAAAGATCTAGCTAGCTGCAACTATGGAGTCCGGAGATACAGGTAAAAGCTCGCAATATTATGCAATATTTGAAATGACAGACCTGTATATAGCTAGTAACATGTATTCAAAGATGGCTAAACTCTTGCTCCATCAAATCCGGTTCGTAAACAGGATTTGTTGTTGAGGCATCAAAACTCATCAAACACATTTGTTGCCACAATCGGCATCAACTGCATATGTGAGATTCATGACAGAATTGGTTGTAGTTTGGTAGCTATTTTAGCTATTTATTACTATAATAATACCTTAGTTGATGCCACCCGACCTAGTTAGCAAGCTAACCTGTTTTTACCAACCCAGGCCTACTTCTCAACTCTGTGACAACACATACATTTGTGACTTTACTAGTATACTCACAAAGAGCAATAAAAACGCGATCACCTCTTGTGACTAACATTATTGGTAACAGTACACACAGACAACTGTTCCAAACTCTTCCACTGACTGTCTGTGTTATTCCCACTGTAGGGAGAGGTGGCTGGAACAACAAGTTCCGGTCAACTCAGAAGAGCAGGATGAGTGTGAACGTTCTCCGTCAGGAGGAGCTGATCGCCCAGAAGAAGCGCGAGATTGAGGCTAAGATGGCAGAGCAAGCCAAGAACAAGAGCCTTCAGACTCCCAACAAGCCACAGCCACCAAGGTACAGTAGACCTGAGTTTCTGAAACACTACAAATAGGTCTACCTTTCTACTCAATCCCAGCTGCAAGTACTTGATTGGTCCACTTGACTGGTTGATTGCAGCCATTGATTTTGACTTCTTATCCCTACAGTTTACCCAGTTTACAGGGACCCTCTTCGAACAACAACAAGTATGTGAATGACGGAAGTTTCTTACAGCAGTTTATGAAGCTGCAGAAGGACAAACCCAGCGCTGACTCTGGTGAGATGGGTAGCTGTTTTGACTTAATTGGTTTCAATAGAAAATGTGTTAGGACTTTATTTTGATGGTACAGAAATGATTAAATAAAATGATAACAGTAATAATTGATGAATTAGTTGTTTCTTCTGGATTCATTAAACAATTAAGGAAACACTGCAGTGAGTGTTAACCCAATTGTGTACCCTCTCCAGGCTCCAGCAGTGACACCAAAGCCCCATCTTCATCCATCCCCAGTCCGTCCTCAGGAGTGTCTCAGCCCCAGAAGAAGAGCATTCTCATCGGCAAGCGTCCCGGTCTAGGCATCAGCAGCATGCTGAACCAGTTTAAGAACTACTCCCAGTCAAAGAAGACCCCGCTTCGCCCCCAAAGGCCTAGCATATTCAGCTCCCCAGATGATGATGATGATGATGAGGAGGAAGTTGATGATTTAAGTTTCCTAGAGATCAAAGGTAATCAATGATCTGGTTTTAGACATCAAAGGACTGCCAGTAGCCTGTGTGCCGGTCAGATGCTGTCCTAGGCTACATGTTGTTGTCATTTCACCCATGTCATTGACTGTGTATTCTAGTGGCAGAGTAGCTGCTTGCCTGAGAATAATGCTTTTCCTGAGTTCGCATAGCCTTCTACAGTAGAGTAAAGGTAAGGTACTCATAGCCCTCTTAAAGTTTCTCCCCCAGAGGACCGAGACACACAACTTATCCTGGACAAGTTGGCAGCCTTTGTGGCTGAGGGAGGGCCTGAGCTAGAGAGGAAGGCCAAGGAGAACTACAAGGACAACCCTGTTTTCTCGTGAGTCTGTATGGATGAACTAACAGTACAGTGGTGAAAAAAAGTATTTAGTCAGCCACCAATTGTGCAAGTTCTCCCACTTAAAAAGATGAGAGGCCTGTAATGTTCATCATAGGTACGCGTCAACTATGACAGACAAATTGAGAAAAAATATCCAGAAAATCACATTGTAGGATTTTTAATGAATTTATTTGCAAATTATGGTGGAAAATAAGTATTTGGTCAATAACAAAAGTTTCTCAATACTTTGTTATATACCCTTTGTTGGCAATGACACAGGTCAAATGTTTTCTGTAAGTCTTCACAAGGTTTTCACACACTGTTGCTGGTATTTTGGCCCATTCCTCCATGCAGATCTCCTCTAGAGCAGTGATGTTTTGGGGCTGTCGCTGGGCAACACGGACTTTCAACTCCCTCCAAAGATTTTCTATGGGGTTGAGATCTGGAGACTGGCTAGGCCACTCCAGGACCTTGAAATGCTTCTTACGAAGCCACTCCTTCGTTGCCCGGGCGGTGTGTTTGGGATCATTGTCATGCTGAAAGACCCAGCCACGTTTCATCTTCAATGCCCTTGCTGATGGAAGGAGGTTTTCACTCAAAATCTCACGATACATGGCCCCATTCATTCTTTCCTTTACACGGATCAGTCGTCCTGGTCCCTTTGCAGAAAAACAGCCCCAAAGCATGATGTTTCCACCCGCATGCTTCACAGTAGGTATGGTGTTCTTTGGATGCAACTCAACATTCTTTGTCATCCAAACACGACGAGTTGAGTTTTTACCAAAAAGTTATATTTTGGTTTCATCTGACCATATGACATTCTCCCAATCCTCTTCTGGATCATCCAAATGCACTCTAGCAAACTTCAGACGGGCCTGGACATGTACTGGCTTAAGCAGGGGGACACGTCTGGCACTGCAGGATTTGAGTCCCTCGCGGCGTAGTGTGTTACTGATGGTAGGCTTTGTTACTTTGGTCCCAGCTCTCTGCAGGTCATTCACTAGGTCCCCCCGTGTGGTTCTGGGATTTTTGCTCACCGTTCTTGTGATCATTTTGACCCCACGGGGTGAGATCTTGCGTGGAGCCCCAGATCGAGGGAGATTATCAGTGGTCTTGTATGTCTTCCATTTCCTAATAATTGCTCCCACAGTTGATTTCTTCAAACCAAGCTGCTTACCTATTGCAGATTCAGTCTTCCCAGCCTGGTGCAGGTCTACAATTTTGTTTCTGGTGTCCTTTGACAGCTCTTTGGTCTTGGCCATAGTGGAGTTTGGAGTGTGACTGTTTGAGGTTGTGGACAGGTGTCTTTTATACTGATAACAAGTTCAAACAGGTGCCATTAATACAGGTAACGAGTGGAGGACAGAGGAGCCTCTTAAAGAAGAAGTTACAGGTCTGTGAGAGCCAGAAATCTTGCTTGTTTGTAGGTGACCAAATATTTATTTTCCACCATAATTTGCAAATAAATTCATTAAAAATCCTACAATGTGATTTTCTGGATTTTTTTTCTTCTCAATTTGTCTGTCATTGTTGACGTGTACCTATGATGAAAATTACAGGCCTCTCTCATCTTTTTAAGTGGGAGAACTTGCACAATTGGTGGCTGACTAAATACTTTTTTCCCCCACTGTATGTTGAATGTATAGTATGTAATGTGGTCTCTTTTTGTCCTGATATAAAGATCTGTTCCTTTTCCACCGTACAGATTCTTGTATGATAAGAACAGCCGGGACTATCTTTATTACCGAAAGAGAGTTGCTGAACTCCGAAAGGATAACCCAACACCTGAGACGCCGTCACGTTCTAATGGTAAGATTACCTATATCGGTTTCTCTCTCTCTCTCTCTTACTCTCACACACGCTTGCTCTCGGCTCCAAAGACTACAGATGAAAAGAACACCATTCAATCTATCTTTATACATGTGGATGAGATACATACAGTGCATTCGGAAAGTACTCAGACCCCTTGACGTATTCCACATTTTCTTACGTTACAGCCCTATTCTAAAATTGATTATATAAAAAAAATATCCATCTACACACAATACCCCATAATATTTTGCAAATGTATAAAAAAAATACCTTATTTACGTAAGTATTCAGACCCTTTACTATAATACTCGAAATTGAGATCAGGTGCATCCTGTTTCCATTGATCATCCTTGATGTTTCTACCTGTCCACCTGTGGGAAATTCAATTGATTAGACATGATTTGGAAAGGCACACACCTCTCTATATAAGGTCCCACAGTTGACAGTGCACGTCAGAGCAAAAACCAAGCCATGAGGTCGAAGGAATTGTTTGTAGAGCTCAGAGACAGGATTGTGTCGAGGCACAGATCTGGGGTAGGGTACCAACACATTTCTGCAGCATTGAAGGTCCCCAAGAACGCAGTGGCCTCTATCATTCTTAAATGGAAGAAGTTTCTTCCTGGAGCTGGCCTCCCGGCCACACTGAGCAGTCGGGGGAGAAGGGCCTTGGTCAGGGAGGTGACCAAGAAGCCGATGGTTACTGTGATAGAGTTCCTCTGTGGAGATGGGAGAACCTTCCAGAAGGACAACCATCTCTGCAGCACTCCACCAATCAGGCCTTTATGGTAGAGTGGCCAGACGGAAGCCACTCCTCAGTAAAAGGCACGACAGCCCGCTTGGAGTTTTCCAAAATGTCACGTCTGGAGGAAACCTGTCAAAAGTTTGGACACACCTACTCATTCAAGGGTTTTTCTTTATTTTTACTATTTTTTACATTGTAGAATAATAGTGAAGACATCAAAACTCTGAAATAACACATATGTAATCATGTAGTAACCAAAAAAGTGTTAAACAAATCAAAACATATTTTATATTCTTCAAATAGCCACCCTTTGCCTTGACGACAGCTTTGCACACTCTTGGCATTCTCTCAATCAGCTTCATGAGGTAATCACCTGGAATGCATTTCAATTAACAGGTGTGCCTTCTTAAGTTAATTTGTGGAATTTCTTTCCTTCTTAATGCATTTGAGCCAATCAGTTGTGTTGTGACGGGGTGGGGTGGGGTGGTATACAGAAGATAGCCCTATTTGGTAAAATACCAAGTCCATATTATGGCAAGAACAGCTCAAATAAACAAAGAGAAACGACAGTCCATCATTACTTTAAGACATGAAGGTCAGTCAATACGAAACATTTCAAGAACTTTGAAAGTTTCTTCAAGTGCAGTCGCAAAAACCATCAAGCGCTATGATGAAACAGGGTTCTCATGAGGACCGCCACAGGAATGGAAGACCCAGATTTACCTCTGCTGCAGAGGACAAGTTCATTACCAGCCTCAGAAATTGCAGCCCAAATAAATGCTTCACAGAGTTCAAGTAACAGACACATCTCAACATCAACTGTTCAGAGGGGACTGTGTGAATCAGGCCTTCATGGTTGAATTGCTGCAAAGAAACCGCTACTAAAGGACACCAATAAGAAGAAGAGACCTGCTTGGGCCTAGAAACACGAGCAATGGACATTAGATCAGTGGAAATTTGTCCTTTGGTCTGGAGTCCAAATTTGAGATTTTTGTTTCCAACTGCCCTGTCTTTGTGAGACGTGGTGTGGGTGAACGGATGATCTCCGCATGTGTAGTTCCCACCGTAAATCATGGAGGAGGAAGTGTTATGGTGTGGGGGTGCTTTGCTGGTGACACTGTCTGTGGTTTATTTAGAATTCAAGGCACAGTTAACCAGCATGGCTACCACAGCATTTTGCAGCGATACGCCATCCCATCTGGTTTGGGCTTAGTGGGACTATCATTTGTTTTTCAACAGGACAATGACCCAACACACCTCCAGGCTGTGTAAGGGCTATTTTACCAAGAAGGAGAGTGATGGAGTGCTGCATCAGATGACCTGGCCTCCACAATCTCCCGACCTCAACCCAATTGAGATGGTTTGGGATGAGTCGGACAGCAGAGTGAAGGAAAAGCAGCCAACAAGTGCTCAGCATACGTGGGAACTCCTTCAAGACTATTGGAAAAGCATTCCAGATGAAGCTGGTTGAGAGTGTGCAAAGCTGTCATCAAGGCAAAGGGTGGCTATTTGAAGAATCTCAAATATAAAATATATTTTGATTTGTTTAACACTTTTTTGGTTACTACATGATTCCATATCTGTTATTTCATAGATTAAGTCTTCACTATTATTCTACAATGTAGAAAAATAGTAAAAATTAAAGAAAAACCCTTGAATGAGTAGGTGTGTCCAATCTTTTGACTGGTAGTATGTGTATGTATGTATGTATGTATGTATGTATGTATGTATGTATGTATGTATGTATGTATGTATGTATGTATGTATGTATGTATGTATGTATGTATGTATGTATGTATGTATGTATGTATGTATGTATGTATGTATGTATGTATGTATGTATGTATGTATGTACAGTGGGGAGAACAAGTATTTGATACACTGCCGATTTTGCAGGTTTTCCTACTTACAAAGCATGTAGAGGTCTGTAATAGGTACACTTCAACTGTGAGAGACGGAATCTAAAACAAAAATCCAGAAAATCACATTGTATGATTTTTAAGTAATTAATTTGCATTTTATTGCATGACATAAGTATTTGATCACCTACCAACCAGTAAGAATTCCGTCTCTCACAGACCTGTTAGTTTTTCTTTAAGAAGCCCTCCTGTTCTCCACTCATTACCTGTATTAAATGCACCTGTTTGAACTCATTACCTGTATAAAAGACACCTGTCCACACACTCAATCAAACAGACTCCAACCTCTCCACAATGGCCAAGACCAGAGAGCTGTGTAAGGACATCAGGGATAAAATTTTAGACCTGCACAAGGCTGGGATGGGCTACAGGACAATAGGCAAGCAGCTTGGTGAGAAGGCAACAACTGTTGGCGCAATTATTAGAAAATGGAAGAAGTTCAAGATGACGGTCAATCACCCTCGGTTTGGGGCTCCATGCAAGATCTCACCTCGTTGGGGTATCAATGATCATGAGGAAGGTGAGGGATCAGCCCAGAACTACACGGCAGGACCTGGTCAATGACCTGAAGAGAGCTGGGACCACAGTCTCAAAGAAAACCATTAGTAACACACTACGCCGTCATGGATTAAAATCCTGCAGCGCACGCAAGGTCCCGCTGCTCAAGCCAGCGCATGTCCAGGCCCGTCTGAAGTTTGCCAATGACCATCTGGATGATCCAGAGGAGGAATGGGAGAAGGTCTTGTGGTGAGACAAAAATAGAGCTTTTTGGTCTAAACTCCACTCGCCATGTTTGGAGGAAGAAGAAGGATGAGTACAACCCCAAGAACACCATCCCAACCGTGAAGCATGGAGGTGGAAACATCATTCTTTGGGGATGCTTTTCTGCAAAGGGGACAGGACGACTGCACCGTATTGAGGGGAGGATGGATGGGGCCATGTATTGCGATATCTTGGCCAACAACCTCCTTCCCTCAGTAAGAGCATTGACGATGTGTCGTGGCTGGGACTTCCAGCATGACAACGACCCGAAACACACAGCCAGGGCAACTAAGGAGTGGCTCTGTAAGAAGCATCTCAAGGTCCTGGAGTGGTCTAGCCAGTCTCCAGACCTGAACCCAATAGAAAATATTTGGAGGGAGCTGAAAGTCCGTATTGCCCAGCGACAGCCCCGAAACCTGAAGGATCTGGAGAAGGTCTGTATGGAGGAGTGGGCCAAAATCCCTGCTGCAGTGTGTGCAAACCTGGTCAAGACCTACAGGAAACGTATGATCTCTGTAATTGCAAACAAAGGTTTCTGTACCAAATATTAAGTTCTGCTTTTCTGATGTATCAAATACTTATGTCATGCAATAAAATGCAAATGAATTACTTAAAAATCATACAATGTGATTTTCTGGATTTTTGTTTTAGATTCCGTCTCTCACAGTTGAAGTGTACCTATGATAAAAATTACAGACCTCTACATGCTTTGTAAGTAGGAAAACCTGCAAAATCAGCAGTGTATGAAATACTTGTTCTCCCCAGTGTGTGTGTGTATGTATGTATGTATGTATGTATGTGTATATATATATGTATAACTCAGCAAAAAAAGAAACGTCCCTTTTTCAGGACTCTGTCTTTCACAGATAATGAGTAAAAATCCAAATAAATTCACAGATTTTCATTGTAAAGGGTTTAAACACTGTTTCCCATGCTTGTTCAATGAACCATAAACAGTTCATGCACCTGTGGAACGGTCGTTAAGACACTAACAGCTTACAGACGGTAGGCAATTAAGGTCACAGTTATGAAAACTTAGGACACTAAAGATGCCTTTCTACTGACTCTGAAAAACACCAAAAGAAAGATGCCCAGGGTCCCTGTTCATCTGTGTGTACATGCCTTAGGCAAGCTGCAAGGAGCCATGAGGACTGCAGATGTGGCCAGGGCAATAAATTGCAATGTCCATACTGTGAGACGCCTAAGACCGCTACAGGGAGACAGGACGGAGAGCTGATCGTCCTCGCAGTGGCAGACCACTTGTAACCACTGTACACCTGCACAGGATCGGTACAGCCGAACATCACACCTGCAGGACAGGTACAGGATGGCAACAACAACTGCCCGAGTTACACCAGGAACACACAATCCCTCTATCAGTGCTCAGACTGTCCTCAATAGGCTGAGAGAGGCTGGACTGAGGTCTTGTAGGCCTGTTGTAAGGCAGGTCCTCACCAGACATCACCGGCAACAACGTCGCCTATGGGCACAAACCCACCGTCGCTGGACAAGACAGGACTGGCAAAAAGTGCTCTTCACTGACAAGTCGCGGTTTTGTCTCACCAGGGGTGATGGTCGGATTCGCGTTTATCGCCAAAGGAATGAGCGTTACACCGAGGCCTGTACTCTGGAGCAGGATCGATTTGGAGGTGGAGGGTCCGTCATGGTCTGGGGCAGTGTGTCACAGCATCATCGGACTGAGCGTGTTGTCATTGCAGGCAATCTCAACGCTGTGCGTTACAGGGAAGACATCCTCCTCCATGATGTGGTAACCTTCCTACAGGCTCATCCTGACATGACCCTCCAGCATGACAATGCCACCACGCACAGAACGAGCAGTATGGCTGATTTCCTGCAAGACAGGAATGTCAGTGTTCTGCCATGGCCAGCGAAGAGCCCAGATCTCAATCCCATTGAGCACGTCTGGGACCTGTTGGATCGGAGGGTGAGGGCTAGGGCCCATTCCACCCAGAAATGTCTGGGAACTTGCAGGTGCCTTGGTGGAATAGTGGGGTAACATCTCCCAGCAAGAACTGGCAAATCTGGTGCAGTCCATGAGGAGGAGATGCACTGCAGTACTTAATGCAGCTGGTGGCCACACCAGATACTGACTTACTTTTGATTTTGACCCCCCTTTGTTCAGGGACACATTATTCAATTTCTGTTAGTCACATGTCTGTGGAACTTGTTCAGTTTATGTCTCAGTTGTTGAATCTTGCTATGTTCATACAAATATTTACACATGTTAAGTTTGCTGAAAATAAACGCAGTTGACAGTGAGAGGACGTTTCTTTTTTTGCTGAGTTTATATGTGTGTGTGTGTATATATATATATATATATATATATATATATATATATATAGCTAGCCCTCCTTGGCGTGTTTTAGTTTATGTTGAAAGTAACCATTGCACACAAACGATGAGGACCGAAGCTTCAAATGACAGATACAGAATTATTTACTGAAAAGTCCTTCACGACAGACAGCATTTATAATGCCCACTGTTCATGGTGTTATTTATTCAAAAAAATGTAAGATTAGGCCTATATTTTAGTATCAAATCCATACAATCCACTTCCCCAATCACCACCATGTCCCCCTGCTCCCCCCTCTTCTTATCCCCTACTGGCTGTAGACTGGTGTGTGAGGGCCAGTTGAGTACGGTACGGTAGTAGTGTGAGTTGAGCCCCAGTACTGATAGGCTGCTTAAAGTCTCCCCCCCAGTGGACGAGGAGACCCAAAGGGTGGCCAAGAAGCTGGCCAGTTTTGTGGCCGACGGTGGCCCCGAGGTAGAAGCCATCGCCGCCCAGCACAACCAGGACAACCCTGCCTTCAGGTAAGTGACAGTCTCAAATATTGTAATGAGTGTTTAATGCATTGATCCAATTGTATTTTATTGATCCCAAAGAAGAAATTGATTTGTCATAGTATTGCTTACTTTATTAAAAACCTAACATGTAAAGTGGACAAAATACCATAAAAGATGGCTTATTTCTTCTTCCTCTTCTCAGTTTTCTTTATGACCTCCAAAGCCCCGGCCATCACTTCTACAAGGAGAAGGTGGAGGAGTACCGCCAGGCCAAAAATGACCAGAGCCCCCCAATCAAGCAGGAGCCTGGAGTGGGGCTCAAGATGCCGGCTGCCCCTCCCCCGCCTCTTCACTACCCCTACCTGCTGGGCCAGGTAAAGCTCGAGCCGGGTCTGGAGATAAAAGAGGAAACAGCAGGGCCCCCCATGGTTAAGAGGAAGAGGAAGAGCCGCTGGGGGTCAGAGGACGACAAGGTGGATCTGTCGCTGCCACCCATCTTCATCCCCAAGGAGGAAGAGCCAGAGGCCAGCCCGTGTCTTTCTGGTACACACACACCCATAATACACAGCCTCTCTTGTATAACACACACACACATAAAAATAGAATCAAATGTAATTGGTTTCGCGTACACCTATTTTGCCGACGTTATTGCGGATATAACGAAATGCCTATGTTCCTAGCTTCAACAGTGCAGTAATACCTAACAATACAAAACGATACATGCAAATCCAACAAATTAAGAAATATAGTAATATTAGAACAAGAGACCGTTGTTTTAGTATATCTTAGACTAAAAACAGTGTTTGTAAGGTATATCTATCCTGGCCATGTGTTGTGTCCATCCTTGCTGAGTGTGTGTGGTGTGTTTCAGTTCATGAACTGAGAGATCTGGGCTATAAGAAGGGAAAGCCTGTGGGCCTGGTCGGGGTAACAGAGCTCTCAGACGACCAGAAGAAACAGCTCAAAGAGCAACAGGAGGTACTGCTTGACCGACAGACAGACAGAGCACAATACACTATGGCAACAAATTGTACTTTCACTGTTTGAATTGTCGGGGACTGGGCAGTGTTAATCATTTTAGTATTTTGGGCGCGCCTTGGTTTGGTATGGGAGTGCCCAGCTTACTTCAAACCTAGCCTCTAACAAGACCAGATGGGCTCAGTTGCGTCCTTTCTCAGCCACCTTGAAATCCGTCTCTGAAACCTTGACTGAGGTGTGTGTCCGGCCTGCACATGCATGTGTGTCTGTGTTCTCACCCCAGATGCAGGAGATGTTTGACATGATCATGAAGCATAAGCGTGCGATGGCGGAGATGCAGGTGATGTGGGAGAAGGCGGTGCGGGACCACTCCCATGAGTACGACAGTGACGAGGAGGTAGACCAGCAGGCTGGCACCTGGGAGCACCGCCTCCGTCACATGGAGATGGAGAAAACACGTGGTAAGATTCATGAAGACAATGGCCGTGTTCGAAGATCATCAAAACCGTGATGTATCATGAGTAAATTCTGACTGAATGATCTATAAATAATATTGAGTAGTTATTTATGATACAAGGTGATTTGTGGATCAGTCAGTCTCGACTCGTCTTTAAAGTCGGCTGCAATGTCAAATGCGCCCAATGTGTTTGTTAAAGTGAAAGGACTTTTTGAATGTGAGATTTGATTCTTGAAAAGATCCGTTTATTACTGACATTTTTTTTGGTTTAATCAACGACTACTTTCAGAACATTCTGTGTCAACAACTCATTAATCAACTCTGAGATATACCTCATCATATTAACCTGGGCCTCGTTCAATCTGAATGTTCAAAACGTTGTGTCCTGCTGAACGCGCCCCTGACGTAAATGGCTGCTTGGCTCTTCCTCCAGAGTGGGCGGAGTCGCTGACTGACATGGGAAAGGGGAAGCACTTCATTGGTGACTTCCTACCTCCGGAGGAGCTGGAGAAGTTTATGGAGACCTTCAAGGCACTCAAGGTCAGTTCCAAATCTTTTCCCCAACTCTTCTCTTTGGCACTTAACCCTTTACCCCTTCGTTGTCTAGCCTCAGCCAAAAAGGAATGACCCGGAAACCACCATTTGGGAAACACATATTCTATTCACATGATCTCATGTTCTTGAATTGTGTTTTGGGTTGTTCTGCAGGAAGGCCATGACCCAGACTACTCGGAGTATAAGGATTTTAAGCTAACGGTGGAGAACCTCGGTTTCCAGATGCTCATGAAGATGGGCTGGAAGGAGGGCGATGGCCTCGGCTCTGACGGACAGGGCATCAAGGCCCCTGTCCACAGGTGGGGGACTGTCAAATTCACAGACACATAGTATACACACTTGGACTCAGGCATAGTCACACGAAGACATGCAAACACTGGACATGAACACCCACACTATTGGCTGATACAAGGTCTTCTACACAGCTTATACACACACACTTAACCAGCTGCTGTGGTTTGGTTTGCTCCAGGGGAATCACGGCTGTTGACGGGGCAGGGTTTGGTGTGGACCGGCCCGCTGAGCTCTCAGGACAGGACGATGAGTATGACGCTTTCAGAAAGAGGATGATGCTAGCCTATCGCTTCAGGCCTAACCCACTGGTAATTACTACATAAATGCCATCTGCAAACTGTTCTGTTCAGATGACCTGGCATTGGTAAGAGTTTTTGGTAACGCGTTTCTTTTTTTTTCAGAACAACCCAAGGAGACCATACTACTGATGAAGAGGCCTGAATTTGGTCGACTTTGTCGAATTTACTTTTTTAAACCACCAACAGTGGCATGATGGCCCAGTTATGCCTTTCTCTTTGTTGTGGGAACAAACTGTAGGACACTAGTCTAGTAATCTAGTAATCTCCTCTAGATTGTGTGGAATTTTATAGTCGTTGATAAATTGTTTAGGTTGGAGAATAAGGAGGACGGATTTGTCGGATCTAATTGAAGTTGTCTAAGACTCAGTTGATGTGAATCTGACTCAACTGCAGAATCAAAGTATCATATTTGATCAATCGGATGGCTAGGGTATCATTGTGATGGCTTATGATCTGATCCTAGTCACGATTCAAAACGCAGAACAACCTATAAACACTGCCTGTCCTCTCTGTATTGTGACGTCTGTCTTTTTGCTTGGATTTTAATTTCTTCACATGTTCAAGATGTTACTTGGCAATGACAGTAACCAAAATACATAATTTGACTGATAATAAATGGCTTTGTAGTTCTTTCTGTGCATGGTTTTGCTATGGTTGTTTGATCACCCTTCTTCAAAGATTTGAACACAGTGTTAACACATCGTAAATGTGTTATTTACATCGTAAATTCAAGCAACGAATGTAAAATGTTTCACTGTGAAAAATAAAAATATTAAATAGTCTTGAATGTATAGTAGTGGAGTATGCTTGTAGCTGATCAGTGCCCTCTGTTGTTGACTTGTGGAAACCAATTTTACGCTGAACAAAAATATAATCGCAACATGTAAAGTGTTGGTCCCATTTTTCATGAGCTGATATAAAAAAATCCCAGAAATCTTCCAATCTTATTTCTCTCAAGTTTACTGCACAAATGTGTTAACATCCCTGTTAGTGAGCATTTCTCCTATGCCAAGATTAATCCATCCACCTGACAGGTGTGGCATATCAAGAAGCTGATTAAACAGCATGATCATTATAATAATATGCCATTTAGCAGACGCTTTTATCCAAAGCTACTTACAGTCATGCGTGCATACATTATTTAATTTTTTTTGTGTATGGGTGGTCCCGGGGATCGAACCCACTACCTTGGCGTTACAAGCGCCGTGCTCTACCAGCTGAGCTACAGAGGACCACACCATTACACAGGTGCACCTTGTGCTGGGGACAATAAAAGGCCACTTTTAAAATGTGCTGTTTTGTCACACTACACAACGCCACATATGTCTCATGTTTTGAGGGAGCGTGCAATTGGCATGCTGACTGCAGGAATGTCCACCAGAGCTGTTGCCAGAGAATTGAATGTTAATTTCTCTACCATAAACTGCCTTCAATGTGGTTTTAGAGAATTTCGCAGTACGTCCAAACGGCCTCAACCAAAGACCATGTGTAACCACGCCAGCCCAGAGGTGCTGATGAGTATTTCTGTCTGTAATAAAGCCCTTTTGTGGGGAAAAACTCATTCTGATTGGCTGGGCCTGGCTGCCTAGTGGGTGGGCCTATGCCCTCCAAGGCCCACCCATGGCTGCACCCCTGCCCAGTCATGTGAAATCCATAGATTAGGGCCAAATGAATTTATTTCAATTGACTGATTTCCTTATATGAACTGTAACTCAGTAAAATCTTTGAAATTGTTGCATGTTGCGTTTATATTTTTGTTCAGTATATATTATTTCAATTCTGACAAACGCCAATTCCACAGTGTAGATCAAATAAAGATTTATCTGCAAGATAAAGTGAATGTCCATTACATAATATGTGTAAAACACTACTTCTATTAGTGAAAATGTTTCTTTCACAGAGCAAGTAGCATGTTTGTACTTGCAAATAGCACATTTGCATTATTGTAGGGCATTGCAGGGGTGCAAGGAGCAATGGTTGAAATGAGTTTTGTATAATGTGTAATAGAGGTACACCTGGTGCACGTTCAGCAGTAGGCAACATTTTGTAACTCTCAGGTAGAAATATGCTATGTAGAACAAACATGCCTCTGACGTGTAGAATAAGGAATCGCGTCGACTCTTCGTGGCATTTCTATCTGCAACATTTGGCTACTGAACGTGGCCCTGATGCCCATCTTATCCTGGGGGTTGAAGAGTTCGCAACCCTGATAGGGTCTCCTCGAAATCCTGCAACCTCATCCTCGTAGTCGTACCCTATACATACAGGTATGGGAGGGGGTATCCTAACCCCCCATTTATCACTCCCAGCGTTTGACAGCCATGGCAGTCCTCTAATGAGGAGGGTAACAGATCTGTGAAATCAGAGCTTCAGTTTGCCATTCCCTGGGGGTTAACACCAGTTAAATATAACACAGATCGGCCAACTAAGCAAAAAGACCCCCTGGAGCGCAACATCAGCTAACGCCAACATAAGTGTTGTCCTCTGAAGCTGTGGTAGCTGGATCCTTGTGTAGTGGGGCATGGTTGGCCAGTATGCAGTCAGTGCCCTGGCAGGCAGGTCAGCACCACTGACTGCACTCCTGTGACCAGACATGGGGCAAAATGTTGAGGATTTTGTAAAACGTGCGTCAAGGCACGTTCTTTTTTAAAATGTCTGTGTCCATATGACTTCCATTAATTTAGAATTCAGTGATCGCTTTTATTTCTGATTTATGCAGCCCTTCATTGTATGTTTAGAATGATTAGATACACCCTACAGAACACATGAACACGTACTATTTCTTTGGGAGTTTTTATTTTATTTGTGGTGCCTTTGAAATGTGCATATTTATTTCAGTGCTCAATTATTTTGGGTTTAAACCGTCAAATTGGATCTAGGACATATTAAAAGACAAAGTACATTTTGTGAAGGCAGTGAGTGTGAAATATAAAAAAGTCTGGAACGATGTTGAGCGGTTCTGTGTACCTTTTGTTATTTTGATTTCCGAGTCAAAACGGAGAGTGGAAAACGGAAAATGGCTCGTTTTTCATTTCTGAATTTGAAAAACTAAAATCGGAAATCTATTTGTTTTCTTATTTATTGTGACAAAATTGGACATGGAAAAAAAGAAAAAGAAAGGATTAGACTGTTCGAATATAAAAATGCTAATGTTAGCTAAGATGCAGAACTTATTATGAAGTTAGCATACCAATAGAACAAACTCAACAAAAACTTAACAAAGTTGGTTTGCACTAGCTGAATAGCTAGCTATCACTAGCTGGCTAGCTAGCACTAGCTGGCTACTAACTAGCTAGCAGGTTGGCTAGCTAGCCCTACCTGGTTACTGGCTATAGTCATGCTAGTTAGTAGCTAGTGGAAGTAAGTTAGTCCCTCAACCTGCTACAAGATGAAGCTGCCCAGCCAGAGCTACCTGCTGCAGAAAGGTCAGATTTTTCCATTACTTTCTGTAGCTAATTTAGCTAGACCTTCTGTCGGCTGATGGTGTTTATTGAATTACTAATAATGAACAGCAGTTACTGTAAATGGTTACCTATCTGGCACTTTGCATAACTAACGTAGCTATTTCTTAAACATACAACAATATCCAATTAAGCTATAGTCAATGCTGATGTGTGTGTGTCTGTCTTTGTCTGTGTGAGTTCTGAATGTTCCCACAGGAGAGAGGCACAGTATGGTATCTCAGCTGATCATCATTAACTTCATGTAGTTACAGCCGTAAGTTAAAATAAGCCTTTTTATTTGTATGGGTATACTTCACCAACATCCTTTCCTGCTAAAGGCAGATGTAGGCTATACTATTATGTTGTGAACATGACTATTGCTGCGACAATTGGCCTACTTCTCTGAATGTGTAGGATCTTAATTTGATCACCCTATTGTTGCATGACATGTCTCTCTAACCCTGCTGTAACCTACTGTGCTGAGACAATATGACTCTAGTTTTACACTATTTTAAATGGAATGCTCAACAGTGAGTATATCACTATCTCTCAATTCAATAAAAAACCCTGCCCTATTCCGAAATCATGAATGAATTGCAAACTAGTTAGCTATATGTTTTGAATCAAACTGCAATAGGTTATTCAACCTGATTATTTTCCTGTTTTCCCAATCAAAGCTACTGTAGCATATCATCCGTGGGAAAACAAAAAAGTTTAGCTCAGGCTTTACTCTCTTTCTCTCCACTCTTCAGGTCTGTCAAAAACCCATCATACATAGTCACACTGTCACTACTGCCTACACCTTAGCTAGCGAAGCTTTCTACTGCATCGTTGGATTCCTGGTAGAGAGAAATCACTAGATTTTTAAATAGTAAAGTTTTGCTGGGAGCTGGTTCAGACGATCAGTGGCGTCAACTTATTGGTGAATACTTTTTGACACCTGAGCCGGAGAGCATCTCCATCAGCGATTCTGCAGACTAAACAGACAGCACAGACAGCAACTCAGACATGCTCACCGAAGTCGAGGCCGAGCCCCTTGAGGAGGCAACCGAGGAAGACCACCCATTAATGGTGGAGCCATCAATTACGGTGCTTCAGTCTGTCAAGGGGGAATATGTCAGTGATGCTGGGCAAGAAATTGAAAAGGCTCGCAAGTTCACAGTCCAACGAAGGAAAGCTTTGCAGCTCCTTCAGGGTTATCTTTGGTCTCTTTGTTGCCTCTCTGATTAATGCCCTCCTTACCTGTTCCGTGAGTTTTGATGGGTGGCCCTCTCTTGGAGTAAACAAAGCAAACAAAAAGAAAGAAAACATCAGAGGACATCATATTTCCTTGATATTGAGCAAATCTGCAGAGAAACATTTAAGTTCCTACACACGTAAGTTGTCTTTAAGAGTAATAGAACTTTATGTTTTCTGTTGGTGCTGCAACAGTATTAAAAAGTTAATTAGGTAGTTAATTTAACCTCTACTGGATCAGTATCCCGAAATCTGGACAGTTGTTGCTCAATATGCGATAATTGACTAGAATGGCATTGTAAACAACAGCCAACTTTCCGGGACATAGACATGTCTTATATCGTCAAAAAGCTTAAATGATTGTTAATATAACGGCAGTGTCCAATTTACAGTAGCTATTACAGCTAAAAAAATACCATGCTATTGTTTGAGGATAGTGCACAACAACAAAACACTTTTATCAAGGCAACTGGTTTGATACATTCACCTCTGACGGTAAATAATGTACTTACATTCAGTAATCTTGCTCTGATTTGTCATCCTGAGTGTCCCAGAGATAAAATGTAGCATAGTTTTGTTTGATAAAATCATTTTTTTATATTCTAACACAATCCATGTTGTATACAGCGTTTTGCATGAATTCCGACTCTTTCAACTTACAACAAAACAAATTATGAAATCTAATCAGCACAACTTTGCTTAACCTGGTCAAGTTTGGTTTCTGTGCAATCCTCAGACATTCTAGAAGGCAACCAAACGTGTTTCATCATTCTACATTATGTATTGGCTACACAACACATCAATTAGCCCATGAAGGACAGCCATCATTACGCACCAATGAGACTAGCGGTGTTCACTTGATTGACAGGGTCTTGGTCCAATGACTACCTATCGTTTTGAAACATAGCTGGCTAGATAGCCAATGAGCTGCGCTTTACAGTAGTATGAGAACGCCCTTTGTACGACAAACAACCATCCAACTGGAGCTGTGCGCAACAGTGTCATTCTCAAGGGGAAAGCAAACAGGGCGCACCGTAGTTTACGTTACGCAGCGGTTCGTTCTCTTCTACAAACTTTTCTCAAAACTGAAAAAGTAAAACAT